AACCAAAACTACGTAGCGTGCCGCTAATCATAGCGCACACATTAGTTTTTATTATGCCAAACAAGACAACAAAACCACGGTGACTTTGAGTCATGTTCCCTTGCTTTGGCTCAATTAAGACTTGACCTAAAGTCTCCAAAACTTTTGTTCATCTAAAGAATGGGATTACATTGTTCACATTTGAACATCTTTACTAAGTCTAGGTCAACCAATTAACTTCCATAAGCTAAGTCAATTTAGAGAGAAATTCGTATTGGGATTAATTTGATTAGCATAACATAATTTTGCCGCAAAAATCTAAATTGAATAGTGACAATATTACACAAGTCGCAAGATCGAAAATTCGCTATGCTCATAATCATCTCTTGCGCCACAGGTGACAATTATCCAAAATTTAATTTAATTTATGCGCAAAATATTGATTTTCGGGAGTTAATCTACAAAGATTTCTCTCAACCGAATAACCTCCCACTGACTATGGCATGTCTAAGAGCATGACAAAAATTTCTAATTCCATACAATAGCATCATAATGTAGATTCACAATCAATACATGCTATGTTACATTTAATAACGGAATTAAAATAAAAAACAATTAATCATGCTATTCTAATCACAACATATTACAAACCCAAAAAAAATAATATGCTATATTGAATACTCAAATTATGCCATAACAGAAACTGTATCACTTCTGAAATCAATGAGAGTTGAAGTGCAAAAAACCGTGCACTTCACCTTCCTCCTCCATTAATTTTCATGCATATAATGTGTATATATTTATATAAAAAAATACACATATTTTAATGCATAAAAAATAAGTACAAAAAAACCCATATAGGCTCTGATACCAATGTAAATCATAAAGCATTATAAATTAATGCAGCGGATAAAAATAATTCGGATCATACCTTAATGACACAACCTCGTGGGTAAATCACGTGCTTCCAAAATCTGATCAGTCAACGAACCCAGCAGTGGAGTGATACTACAAAAAGAGTATCACCCACAAAAGTCACATTCTCGAAGACAAGTTTACGCCAGCAGCCAAGCCAGCCGAGGACGTTACGTTACCTCAGTACGCGGCTCGGCTCGCGGCTCAGCGCGCGGCTCAGCACGCGCCGCGGGTGTGTGGTGCGGAGGGCGCGAGCGTGGAAATCGCGGAACAACGCGGGCATGGAGGCGCGTGGATGCGTGTGAGAGCGGGTGGAGGTGCGTAGAAGCCTCCCACGGTGTCAGGTGGCGCGTAAGGCCCACGCTCCACCTTCCAGGGTGTTTTCTGGTTCGATTTTTTGTACTGCCAGACTCCATTTTTCACAATAAAAACATTTATGGCATTAAAAATAACATTTAATGAACATAAAAATGAAGTGTATCGCATTCTCAATCAATGACAGTTGAAGTGCAAACAACCGTGCACTTCGTCTTCCTCCTCTATTAATTTTCATGCATATAATGTGTATATATTTATATAAAAAAAACACATTTTAATGCATAAAAAATAAGCACAAAAAAACCCATATAGGCTCTGATACCAATGTAAATCATAAAACATTATAAATTAACACAGCGGATAAAAATAATTGGGATCATACCTTAATGACACAACCTCGTGGGTAAATCACGTGCTTCCAAAATCTGATTAGTCAACGAACCCAGCAGTGGAGTGATACTACAAAATGAGTATCACCCATACAAGTCACAGTGCAAAATGGCTTGATCGTTATTTTCTGGGAGAGAGTCAGAAAGAGGGTCTGGAAAAAAAAGGTTATGGATAAAAATCACGTACCGTATATCTAACCATATAATCTGATTCAGAAGTCTAAATCAAAGTGATTAATTCTCATAGTAAATAAAAGCAATTAATTTTTTATTTTACATATTTTGTTTTCCTGGTGTTGGTCAAGACACTTCAAGATCAATAAAAAAATTTATAATTCTATGCTGCCTCTGTCACGATGATCCATGAAATAGGTGCCAAGCCCATCGAAAACGACCACCGGTAGAGCTGAGCTGATTTTAGGAATTAAGATATGAGAAAACAATGGGCTCTATTTATCAAAATCTTGGAATTTCTTGATGTAGGCTTTTGGGTACAAGCCTAGAATAACTGATATGGTAAAGACAAATTGGGAATTAAACATTATTCTTACCAGTATACCTGTTAGAACTTACATAGGAATCCATTTCAGAAGCATGTCATGATCCTGTTCAATTCAAAGCATCGTATGATCCATCGAATAAAATGATACTAAAGCAGTTTGATTGAATTTGAATATGTAGTATATGCAGAGGATTAGTTACTTGCCTTCAAATAGAATGAAATTCCTATTAGAAAGGTCGTAAAGAATGCTCCACTTGCTGATATCTAAATTGCAACAAAGTGAACTCTATTACTTCTTTTTTAATCTTCCACAACTTTTCAATAAAACAAGCTTAGCATACACAACGGTTAAAATTGAGGATTTAAATTGTACCAAATAAGGTTTGAGCATTATAATAAAATAATGTGAGACTTATTTATAAGTCATTTTTCATACATTTATGGTAGGTTAAATCTTGTGTAATTTTTTATAGAGCCTCAAGTCCTATTTAGATAGGAATGTATTCCACAAGATCCTACATAAACGTAACGTGACGTGACACTTATATAAACGTAGCGTAACGTGACACCTACATAAACGTAACGTGACACCTACAGAAACGTAACGTAATGTGTCACGTTAAGTTTCGCAAACTTACTGGTGGTTTGGAATGTCCTAAATAAGTGTACTTTTTTACTTTTTATAAAAAGATGTGTAGAAAAGTAGAGATGAGATATTGATTGATGTGATCCAAAAAATATAAAAAGATAAAAAAATGGACTAAAATAAGTTATGCCAAACAAGGCTTTAATGCGTTTTTATTTTTTTAAATTGAATGTGAAAATGTTGCTGGTTTATGTTGGTGTCACGTTACGTTTCATATAAATATAATCTATGACAACATTCAATTTCCTATATTACGTTACGTTTATTTAGATATGATCTATGACAACATTCAAATTGAATGTTGTCATAGATCATAGGTGTCACTTTACGTTTATGTAGGTGTCACGTTACGTTACGTTTATGTAGATATATAGGAAATTGCATGTTACCATAAATCATAAGTGTTACGTTACGTTACGTTTATGTAGGTGTCACGTTACGTTACGTTTATATAGATATGATTTATGGTAAAATTCAATTTCTTATATATGATTTTACTATTATTTGTAATATTAACAACAATATTGAGGGTAAATGTGTCAACAAACTTTCCACAGGACTTATGAGAACATAAGTTTTTTAGTAGGACCATATGCAACATAAGTCTCCCTAATAGGACTTATAAATAACTTTCCCTAAAATGGATTATACATTATAAATATATTTCCTGAGATTTGATTAAAACATAAATCGCTCACTGTGATTCTGGAAATTATAAGGTTTCTAATTTCATTACAAATTGTCTCTTTTATTAATAAATCATCAAGTCAATTCACAGTTTTTAATAATGTTATAAATATATTTCAATTAATAATTTAAATAATTTTATTATTGTATAGGAGAGTAATTATGAATTTATTTTTTTAATTAATTCTATTAAATAAAATTTTTTAACAAGGGAATATTTGTAATTTTTTAAATTACAGAGGTAATCTATACTTTAAACAAATATCAAGAGATCTATTTGTAATTTACCGTAAAATAAATTTTAAGTTTTTTATTTTATGAATTTAATACCTAATGTTTTTATTTACTTATCTAAATCATTTACTTATTTTTATTAAATGAAAGTAACCAAAAATAATAATAATAATATTTAAACTTTAAAAATCACCAATATAATGTTCACTATTATCATACTACGACTATTGACACTCGGCTATCAACCCACCACCACTTACAAAGAGTTGATTGAACAAATTTGATTAAAATTTTTAAAATTTAACATTCCAATTTTTCGATTTTATACCTTAGTGAATGTATTTAGATGCACTCCAATTTTTTCTAAGTTCTCTCTTAGTTGGGCACAAATCCTTTGGGTGTGTTTGATTGGGGGGATAAGAGGGGGGATTATTTACTGTGCGGATTGTAATCTGCACAGTAAATTCAATTCAATGTTTGTTTTTTTTAGTCCGCTGGACATGGAGTCCGGCCGGACTCCTTATCCCCCATATGGGGATTATACTATACTGGGGGGTGTGGGACAATTTTAGAGATATTATTTACTGTTGCGATTTGGTGGCGAAATGATCATTTTGACCCTCTACTATTTAATTATGTATTATATTTAGTAATTTGTTTAACTTTTTATTGATGTTTTATTTATTTAATTTTTTAAAATAATTTTTTATAAATATTTTATTGATGTTTTATTTAAAATTTTGTTTATATTTTGTTTAATTTCATTATTTAAATTTAATAGATGATTTATTTAATTTCATTGTTTAATTATTATTATTTTTAAAAACAAATTTATTTAAAATTTTAATTAAAAAAATAATATAAATTTTTATTGATATTTTATTTATTTATTTATTAATTAAAAAAATAATTTTATTTAATTGTGTAAAAAATAAAATAAAATAAATTTTTATTTAATCTAACTAAAAATAATTAAAATATTAAAGATATATTTAATATTGTTATTACTTAGTAAACAATTAAAAAACAGTAAAATAATCTTTTGTTCATTTATCCTATTCAGTTTGTCCAACCAAACGTTGGATTCACTAAAAATAGTCATTTCCAGACATCTAATCCCATAAAAAAACAAACGCATAATACATATCCAATCCAATCAAATAGTCCAAGAAATTCACAATCCCAGAACTCAAGTCCAATAAATTTCAATCTCCTTATCCAGTCCGTCCAATCAAACGCACCATTTGTGCCACTTGCTTGTCTGATATTTTTCTATCCATCCCCAAACTTTCCTAGAAAACCACACGTTTTGCCAAAAACTACCATCACACTATCTGCTACCCATTCCGTGTCTCTCACACACACTGTATACCTCTAATTGAAGTCCCTCTCTCCTCCATTACAATCTCTCTTTTCTGTATCTATAACCTGTATATAAAGTATACATATGAATACTCACCCAAAACAAAGTATACATATGAATAAATAAATATTAAATTAAATAAAAAAATTTACCAAAAAAAAAAACGAAAGAAAAAATGCTAGCGAAGGAATCGGCTGGTCCGAACTTCGACCTTCCCGAGGAGGTCTTAGAAGTGCTTCCTTCCGATCCATTCGAACAGCTCGATGTTGCTCGCAAAATCACCTCCATTGCTCTGTCGACACGTGTCTCCTCCCTCGAATCAGAGAGGTCTGTCCTCCGCGCTCAGCTCACCGACAAGGACAACCTCATTGCCGACCTCCAGTCCCAGATCGACTCGCTCGACTCCTCTCTCTCCGACGCCGCCGACAAGCTCGCTCGAGCCGACCACGAGAAGGTCCCCGGTCCAATCTCAATCCGGTTCATTCACGGGTTCACTCACTCTCTCTATATGTATGTAATTGTGTTGTCTATGTATTGCAGGAGAGCTTGTTGAGAGAGAACGCTGCGCTGTCTAACACAGTGAGGAAGCTCAATCGAGATGTCTCCAAGGTGAGTGGGAGGTTGAATTGTGTAATTTTGTTGTGTTTGGAGGATCAAAGTGGGCAAGTGAATTTCTATCTCTGGCTTTGTGATTTGGAATTTGGGATAAAGTTGATATGTTTTGGTGCTTGTTCTAGACTTTGATTCAATTTGTTGATTTGTATTTGATTTGAAACTGTTTTGGAGTTATTTTAGTAATTGTTTTAAGCTGTCTAGTTCGTTTCCTGGGAATCTTTAGGGCCTGTTTGTTTCCTGGGAATTCAGACTGGAAAATAAGGACTTGTGGTAAATTGGTAATTGGATCTCGTTGTTGGTTTCACTTTGTGGAATTTGTTGATTCATCGTTTTTATATTGTTATATTTTTACAAAAATTTATTGAAAACAGTTTTCAGAAAGAATTTGCTAAACAAAATTTGTCTTTTTTGGAAAATTAAAACAGAAAACAGAAATGAAAATGCAACCAAACAGAGAGTTATGCATGGTATAAAATGATCAACAATGAAAATTTTTCTGTCAAATAACGTTTAATTTATCAAAAATAGTGCTCCCTTTGGCAATTTCAGAGGGAAAAAAAAAAAGGAGTTGACAAATTGTCCCAGAAATATGTAAAATCTTGTTAATTTTTTGAAAGAAGATGACTTAAGATAGTTATCTGAGAGAGAGAAAAGATGATTTGGCTTTTGAGAATTTTGTTTCATAGTTACAAAGGGCATGAATGGCCTTTTCAAGTTAGCTGTATGTGATTGCATTTTGTCTTGCATTGCATGCACTGGCAATGATAAATTTTCAAGAAATTAAACAATCCAAATTCCATTTTCATCCAAACATCATTAATCTCGATTTTATGCAATTCTAAGAGTTGAGAATTGAAACAATCCAAATTGCATTTTGTCATGCTATTGAATCAGAAGTTGAGTAAATTGTGTGATTCAATTTGCTATTTACTCTAATTCACTTCAATTCACCGTGATTCAATTCTATGTTTGTTTGTTTTTGTTTGCATAATGCATGCAACGCGGTCTTTTTCGCCTTTTTGTCAACAAATAGAAAAGAGATCAATTAGTTATATTGCTATACATGATTTTATATATACATATATACAAATTAGTATATATATACTTTGGCAACTACATATTTTAGCCAAAAAATCAAAAAGTCACTATAAGTTGTCACATCACTCATTATTTTTCTGCACATCTTTTCGTAAAAAGTCAATAAGTTACTACAATAGCTTATTCCCAAACGAGGCTTTCAGTTTAAACACTATATGTGTATTTTTATATTATATTAATTAAAGCGAATCTTACTATTCACGATTCAATAATTTAGCAAAACGATTCACGATTCAATTCAAGATTTCATAACAATGGTCTTACTATTTATTAACACATGCAGTTGGAAAGCTTCAAGAAAACACTCATGCAATCACTTCAAGAGGATGAAAACCAGCCTGTAAGTTTTCTTCATATAGATTTTTTTAAGTTCAAAAACTATTTCATTGCTTGAGGACATGAGGTATTAGTTTGTTAGTTTGACAAAATACTAATGATAATAGCAACTCAAATCCAAGCCATTAGTTAAAAGTTTCAAAGTACTTGTGAACTTTAACTGCTAACAAAATCTTATTTTGCCTACAGACTGGAGCATCTCAGATTGCTACACATATATCAAGTTACGCAAGCTTGTCCACTCAATCACTTGCTGGAGGTCATGTCAACCGTTCATCTACAGTTTCATTAGCTGTTTCTATTTGTTATGTCAAATCGGGGAAAATCTGAGGTGTCCAGTTTAGTTATCATAACAATGGTTTACCCACATCTGAAATTGAATGCATAAGATCATTCAAAATCAGTGTCTATCAAAGCCTTCTAAGAAAATTATTTTCCCCTGATGACTGTTTAAAAGAACACAATAGTTTTGGCTAATTAGATCCATTCCTTAAGAATGGTTACACTTTTAATGTTCGGATGATTATTTGAACATTCCAGGGGTGAAACATTTATTTGATATTAACTCATACCAATTTGCAACTATCACTTAACCGAAAGTTGTCTAATTGTTTCAGAAGATGATGCTACATTGCCACCTTCAAGTGCTTCCTCATTACGCAGTCAGTTGTCAGAAATGGGTAATTCGTATTCAGAGGATCACGAGCCAGATGGTATACTGCCATTATTCAAGCTTAGATAAAATCAGCGAAGTTCTTCAATCAAGTGCACAACATCTTTCTTTTTGACCAATTTATTTATTTATCATGGCAGGCTCAAGACCTCGTGTATCACAAGGCCTGTTGTTAGCATCACAAGCTAGCACACCTCGGTTTACTCCTCCTGGTTCTCCTCCCATTCTATCTGCATCTGTATCTCCAACAAGAACATCCAAGGCATCATCCCCAAGGCGACGTTCAATTTCATTTTCAACGACAAGAAGCATGCTTGATGATAGGTCTTCTTCTGTGCCCTCTAGCCAGCATGGTTCGATGTCAAGCATGGATGCGGGATCACAATCTGGTTAGCTCCAAAAACTTCCTTCTATGGAATATTCATAAAGGAGAGAGATTACCCTTTTTTTCAGCAGTACACTGCACATTGAAAAAAAACTAATTCCTTCAAAGACACCAAGGTCTTCCATATTTGTGCACAACGTGCTCATGCGCTAGAGTGCTTTGCTAGACTTCTTATTGATATCGTATTAAGGGCATCCTTGTAAGTTTGTATGTTGTTATGCCATGTTAGTAAACAATTTGTATTTTTTTTTTTGTAGGACGAACTAGAGTTGATGGGAAAGAATTCTTCCGCCAAGTCAGGTAAAGGCATGCTGAGATTGGAATTTTGAATTAATGAAGAGAATTTTTATAAATTGTTTCAAAGCAGTGAAACATGCCAAGATTCAGCATGAATATACATCTACCTTTTTCCTGGCAATGAGCTCCAATGTACTTTAATCTATTGGGGTAGTAGTCCTTGTTCTCACCCCCATGTGAGAGGGTTGTGTCAGGTCCAATAATTGGTTCTATGTTCTGAGTTTGCAAACAAGTATATCATGTAGCGCTCTAGTATGGTGAGAACATGGACTCTTGAAAGATGTTTCAAGAGCCAATTGCACTTTTTAACATCCTTTAAGGGGCAAATTGTCAAAAGTCCTAATACTTTTTTTTCTTTGCTTGTTTCACACCATATGTTTCATGCTTTATAACACTTGATTTTATTTTATTTTTTGATTTTATTTGAACATTAGTTGATTCTGAATGTGCTCCTCTGCTTACAATTTCAACTCCTGGCCCATGGTCAATTTTGGAAATTCAAAAATTACCCTTCTGATCACCTCTTCTTTTATCAGGAGTCGATTGGCTTATGAGCAATTTAGTGCATTTTTGGCAAATGTCAAGGAATTGAATTCCCACAAGCGGACAAAAGAGGTTTATAGTCTCTCCCTCGCTCTCTCTCCTCTTTTTTTTTTTTTGTTGTTAGCATTTCCTCTTGCCATCAATGTCTCACCTGTCTGTACATATGGAAAATTTCAGGAGACTCTACGGATAGCTGATGAGATTTTTGGCCCTGATAACAAGGACCTATATGCTGTATTTGAGGGATTGATCACTCGTAATGTCCATTGACAGTGTACGAAGCAGCAACTGTACCTCAAGTTTGTAAGCATTGCTGTGATACCACTGTATAGTTTCTCATGTGGTTTTATGCTGTAAAATATATAATTTGTGTCGTGACATCATTCTCTGTTACTTGTTTGTCAATTTCACACCAAACCACTGTATTGCAATTTTATTGGAAAAAAATAAATAAGCAAAAAGTTTAGGTGACTTGTTCTGAGTTTGTCTAATGGACTAGGAGTTAGTTCCTTATAGTGTGGCAAAAGGGAAGAGTAGATGAAGTAGATATTAGATTTGCTAAGTCATTCACTGCATGATTCTTGAATCTCAAAATTTGTAGGCAAAATTAAGAAATAATGGCAATTGGGGCAATTATTTATAGAAGAATGGGGAATCACTACCCATGGAATGATGCAAAATAATTACATAATGGGGGGAATATTGTGTAAAATTACCAAAATGCCCTTCCCCTTATCTCTACTCTCTTCCCTATTCTCTATCATCTCTTCCCTCTTCCCTCTTCCCTGTAAATGCTAACCCATTGGCTGACTCCTCCTCCACCCTCCCTGGTGCCAGCATCCCTCCCCCGTCTCCCCCCACTGCTGCCAGCCCCTTCCCCACTCTCCTCTGCCCTCCCCGACCTGACCCTCACTTCGTCTTCTTCTTTCTTTTTTTTTTTTTTTTTTTTTTTTTTTTTTTGTAAATTTCTCAAATTTTATGGATATTGAGAATTGCAGAGGAAGAACTGTCCACTTTCATGGCTTGACATAGGAATCGGTTGCACCCGTGAAGATGGCTATGGCAATGATATTATTGATTCTTTTCAGTGTTGTTTTTGGTGGGTGAAATGTGATGACTATATTAATCTCATTTTTGGTGCCAGGTCTGCATTGCCAATGGTTTAAACTTTTGTTTGGCAAACCTTCTTGAGTGATGAGGGCCATGCTTGCAGTTGAGACTCATATCCACCACAGCTATTTTTCCTATCATTGCAGTTTAATCCATTTTTTTAAGATAGCCTTTTTTTTTTGGTTGAACTCCAAGAAATGCTTTTAGCAATGCAAGTCTTTTGTGCTTGAGTATTCTTTATACAGCTAACGGCTGCATGCTTAAGCCTCTGTTTGAATCTTGGACCTGTAAAGAATTAATTGGGGAAAAAAAAAAAAAAAAAAAACCCGAAAAAAAAAAAAAAAAAAAGGAAAGAAGGAATGAAAGAAGAAGAAGAAGAAAGAATCTGAAAACAGGGGGGGAAAGTTTGAAACTCATCCAAATTATTATTACTTTTTTTGTTATTTGGATTTATGCAAAAAAAAAAAAATCCAAAATTATAAAAAATATCAAATAAGTGAAAATAAGGAAATTGGGGTTCAATTTTCACTCGTCCCAAAAAAATTCAAAATTATTTGGATATATGCTTTATGGAAAATTATATATAAGTCTACTTTTTAAATTTATTTTTTGGAATGATGTATATGTGATATAATTGATTGATAATTGAGAAGATATGAGAGAGAGTGTTACATTGGATATCCTAATTGATTGCTATATTATTAGAGTTGAAAATTGGGTCTAATTTTTGGCTTCATATAACAATGCCATGCGTTATTCTTTTTAAAAAAAAACTGTAAAACGAACCAAATTATTCAAACTTGATTTATATTCAACTCATTTAAAATTCAGTTCAGATCAATTTATTAGATAAATAAGTCAAACTTAAAAATATTTTAAAATTAGTTAACTTTTCAAACTAGAAACACTTTACTTTTTTTGGGTCTCAATGACATTATAATATTGTAATAATCAAATTATTTGAGCTTGACTAATATCCAAAAATTCATTGGAGATTGACTTGATACATAGGAAAACGTAATTTATTGAACAATCTAACATTAGGCTCAATTTTAACATGTTTACAATTCTATTTTCTTCTTATTTATATCCCATACTAGAAAAATGGTATACATAAAAACGTATTCAGAAAATTATCATGAATTAAGAAATATGGTTGAGATTTAATTTGACCACACATTGAAATTTTTGAGTAAAATTCTAGATAAAACATATTACATCATGTTGCTCTCATTTTGTTTGGTTAATATTTTATAATTAAACTTTTTTGTTTGGTTTAAAAATAGAGGGAGCAATTGAGGAGAAAACCGATTTTGGGGCATGGAATTCCGGGGAAGTGTCTCAGGCATGCATGAAAACCCTTCATGGAGTTCAAACAAACTCTGGAGACCCATAATAATATCGACCGATCTTCTTCTTCTTCTTCTTCAAATTTCTCTCTCTCTCTCTCTCTCTCTCTCTCTCTGCATTTTCATGTAGATATTTTCTTCGTTTTGACGGTCGATATTCTTCAAAATTCTCCCCCCTAGCTGTGTCTCTCTCTCTGCATTTTCATGTAGATCTTTTCTTCCTTTTCACGGTCGCTGTTCTTCACAAATTCTTCCTCTCTCTCTCTCTGCATTTTCATGTAGATCTTTTCATGTAGACACCCCTCCATTTTGGCTCCTCAGAGGCGGCCCTGCCTCTTAGCATTCGAATTTTCATGGAAAATGTCCCTGACCCTCAACACCCCACTTCCCCATGGTACGTTCCTTCAATTCTATGCCTCGTTTTTATTTATTTATTTATTTATTTTATCAACTTCTGGGTTTGCCTGTTTTTGTTTTTAATATACAGTATCCAATCGGAATTTTGATTACATTTTGTTTCAATTCATTCCCCTGAATCTTCAACTTCTCCGTGGTCCTCATTCCTTCAATTCAATTTCTGTTTCTGGGTTTGGCTGTTTTTGTGTTCATATGTAGTATCTAATCGGACATTGTCTCTGTTTCAATGCATTTGTGCATATACTTATACATATATATATATATAGGTTCATGCATTATAGATGTACATGTATTGGGTAAATTTTGAATTTCATTGGTTTGTGTGCTTGTGATATATGCTGGATTGTAGTGACATTTTATTTTATTTGGTGCTTCGTTTGTTTTCCAAGAAAAGGCGGGAAAGGATATGAAAGCTGTGAAACATGTTACGAATTGAGATTGGTGCCTTTGATAACAAAGTTTCCACATCTTACATGCAAATTTAAGGAGCTCAAAACATGCATAATTATATATCTGATTCTGGGCTTTTTCTCACTATTGGGTTTTATATGTTCAAGGCTGTGGATTAAGAATTAGGTTTTCTCAGCCTTTTTCTTTTCTTTTTTTTCTTGATTTTGGGAGATAATGTTTCAATGGCCTTTCTATTTCTTTCTGATTATATTTATATGTTAAGTTGATTTTGTGAAAGAATTTTTGGGCCCATAAAAATTGAAGTTCAATGGTTGTGGAAATTATCAAGTAATAATGATGGGAGATGAAAAAGAAGACCTGAATTTTGTGAACAGTGCGAAGTTGAATTTGCTAATATATATTGTATCTACATTTTTCGAAACTTTCTTCCATTGTGTCCCTTGCTAATTTTTGGCACTTCTACCTTATGGCTGCGTTTGGATCTTGATTTGTGGAAGGATTTGTAAAAAAAAAAGAAAGAAAGCGAGAAATGCAGTTTTTTTTCTTCTCTTTTTCACCTTCACAAATCCAAGATCCAAACACAACCTAAAGGGGCTGTTTGAACTTTCTTATGCATCTTTTCAACTTCTTCATATTCCATGCCCTTTATTAACATTTGGTTTTGCATTGGCAGCGACAATGCTGGCGACATTGCTGCAGAAAATTCAGAAGGGGAGTTTTTCACCATTGGACAGAAAATGCTATTTTCTGCTCCCTCCTTCCTTTCTGGGGATGGTAAAATCTACATATTTCAACAACACATCTTTTTTCTCTTACATTTTCTTTATTTTTCAAAACTTCATAAGAAAACTTCTTATACTTCTACTATGTTGTCATATTTAGTAAACCTGTTTATAGTGTTTTGGTCTAACTTACTCTGAACTTCTTTAGACTTGAGATCTTTAGGTATGGAGGTCAAGAAAGTAGAAAAGTCCTCCCTGAAAAGTGAAGTTTCTAAGGATGACCCAGAATCAGAAACTATTTCGCCGACCTCAGATTCTGATGCTCAACCTAATCAAAAATCTGGTCCTCAATGGCATGGGTTCTTCCATAGATTGAGAAAAGGACCGACAAAGGGCTTGAATAGCATCCATCCTAGCTTGCCTTCCATGAAAGGGCTCTCCAAGGTTAAAAGCAGAAACTCAAGAGAGAGCATGCCAGCACACGATGACCCAACTTTAGATACTGGATTGTATTGCTTCAAGTCTTACTGGCAGAATTTCTCCCTTTCCGAGCTTGAAACTGCAACCAACAATTTCAGCCATGGTATATGCTTTCTTCCTATATATATATTTTGCAATTTTCAGTTTTCTGAATCTCCTGTTTGTTCATAACTTAGGTTAAACCATTTTTCATGTCAAAGATCCAACTCAAAGACTGTGTTTGGATTTTAAATTTGTTGGGGGGAAAAGAAAAGGGTAGGAAAAAGTGAATGAAGTAAAAGCATCAAATTTTTTTTTTCTTTCACTTTTTGTTTCCCAACACAACAAAAAAGGAACATCCTTTTGATCTTCATTATCCTCACGAAGTTTATCTAAAATCTGTCATGTTTTACTTGCCTGATAAACCTTTTCTATCCATTTTTTTGTTCTTTGTGAAGAGAATTTGATTGGGGAGGGAGGTTATTCAGAAGTTTATAAAGGACATTTGGCAGATGGGCAGCTTGTTGCGATTAAACGACTGACCAGGGGATCCCCAGAAGAGATGACAGCGGACTTCTTATCTGAGCTCGGGATTTTAGTCCATGCCAACCATCCCAACATTGCTAATGTTATCGGATATGGGGTTGAAGGGGGAATGCACCTTGTTCTTCATTTGTCTCCCCATGGGAGCTTAGCATCTTTGCTTACAGGTTTCTTCATCATTATGACACTTCGAAAGTTTAATTTCTACAACCTTCCAACCAACAAAATTTACTCCTTTTTTTTTTGTGCCTCTATTTTCAGGTGCTAAGGAGAAATTGGAATGGGGCAACAGATTTAAGATTGCTTTAGGCATAGCTGAGGGCCTTTCGTATCTTCATGAGGGGTGCCAGCGAAGAATTATCCATAGAGACATCAAGGCTGCTAACATTTTGCTTAGAGAGGATTTTGAGCCTCAGGTATCCCTTTTAATCTATGGATGGTCAAATGAAACACTTCTTCAAATATTGTAGTTTAATAATGAGTGCCTCAATTATCCAACTGGTTGAAGAAAAAAAAATTTATTCAATATTTCATTGCTGCTCTACTTGCAGCAAACTTCTAAATTGAACTTGAAATGACATAAAACAGTCACGTGTTTTTGACATTTAAGAGTATTGGTGGGACTGCAGTTGGTGTAAACTTTATTAGTCTCTCATTATATATGTATATATGGACATATATGTATAGATTATTTCTGCACTAATTCCCTGTTTTGTGATCTGTGAGCAACAGAAGTGAGATCTATATTTTTGTTTATTGAATTTTTTCCTTTTTTTGGCACAGCTTTAACTTTTAGTTTTGCCTAGGTTTCTGATTTTGGGCTTGCAAAGTGGCTCCCAGAGCAATGGACTCATCTCACAGTATCACAATTTGAAGGCACATTTGGGTAATTTGCAATTTGTAAATGGGAGACCTGCATTTGATTCCTGATACTTAAAGCATTATTTTTTTTACTCTTTAACCTTTTCTTCTTCTTCTTCTTCTTTTCAAATCATGACAGCTACCTTCCTCCCGAGTTTTTCATGCATGGCATGGTAGATGAGAAAACCGATGTCTATGCCTATGGGGTTGTATTGTTAGAGATCATCACTGGACGCCTAGCTTTGGATAAGTCACAGAAAAGTCTTGTGATGTGGGTATGTTATACTGTCTATTTTATTGTAGACTATCAAATTTAGTTGTCTCAACCGAGAGAGAGAGACTTGAGAAACTTTGATAAAAAAGGACTAAAGCTAAAGCTGTTTCAATAATTTGTTGCAGGCTAGACCTTTGCTCATGAAGAATAGTTTCAGCGAGCTTGTTGATCCATCCCTTGCCGGTGTCTACAATTCAGAGCGGTTGAATTGTATGGCCCTGATTGCTGCTTTGTGCTTACATGAATGTTCAACTGAACGGCCTCAAATGAGCAAGGCATGTGCTTACCATTTTTTTCCAATTTTCTTTTCTTCCCTGTCATTATCTTCAAGAACCAAACAGAGCCTTAAATATAATAAAAAAAAGGAACATCTGTAGACAATCCAAGAATCAAACATAGTGTTAATGAATTCAATAATCATAGAGCAGAGTGGAACAAACACATATGTATATACATGTATGTGCATATGTTTTGGTTAAATTTATTTTTAAGTTCGACTATGTTACAGGTTGTAAAGATGCTAAAAGGTGAGATCAAAGGTAGTTCAGAGAGGGAAAAGAAGTTCCAAAGAAGGCCCGTCCTCAAGAGGACATTTTCGGTAGGGGTTTACGATGCAGAAGATCATAGCACAAGCAAGTACTTGAATGGTAATCAACCAATGCAGATGGCTCTGCAGCTGTGAAAGACTCTGAAAACCAAAGGTTTGATAGTCAAGAATGAGTTTGCATTCTTCCACAGCCCTTCAAATATGGGGTGTTGTGTTTTTATCTATGTAACATTCTTGATGATGATCACAAGTGAGGTATATGGAAACCAAAAGAGAGTTTAGCACAGAGATGTATTTGCATGCTGCTTTGACAATGATGTACATCTAAATGCATTGTTATTGTTGAATTGTGGACCATTATTTAAAAGTTTAAGCCGTTAGAGAAAGAGAAAGAGAGAGACAACTTATTTAAATTTTTAATACGCTCATTGACACACTTTTTTTAAGTGGGCTAAACATGTGCAAATATTATAAATATTGGATGGTGTGAAGCTTTTAATATATGATTTGTTACTTGTTTTGACACTATATTGAATAATTTATGTTATTAGAGAGAGGCTTCCCTATATGATCAAGGGTGCGACTAGAAAGGAAGTCTTTCCTTAGTGTAACTCTTCGGGGGAACAATTATAAAGATAAGATCATTACGTCTTTATTGAGATCATTATGTTTTTATTGAGATCCTTGGTTTGACAATGATGTACATCTAAATGCATTGTTATTGTTGAATTGTGGACCATTATTTAAAAGTTTGAGCCGTTAGAGAAAGAGAGAGAGAGACAACTTAATTATTTAAATTCTCAATACGCTCATTCACACATTTTTTTTTTTTTTGAAATGGAGTAAACATGTGCAAATATTATAAATATTGAATGGCGTGAACCTTTTAATATATGATTTGTTACTTGTTTTGATACTATATTGAATAATTTATGTTGTTAGAGAGTGGCTTCCCTTAATATGATCAAGGATGCGACTGAAAAGGAAGTCTTTCTTTAATGTAACTTTTCAAGGAACAATTATAAAGATAAGATTATCATGTCTTTGTTGAGATCCTTGATTAGCGACTCCATGACTTGGGTATTAATTATCGTTAGGGGTGGGACCAATTTTACCATGCTACATGGCCATGTCTAGCTACACTCCTTCATGGGCTGTCAATTAGAGTGAATTGGGGAGATGTTGATGCCTTTGGTACTTTTTCCATTCATTACTAATTTTTAAAGTTTTCATCTTCTCCTTGATTAGAGGGTTTATAGAGAAAAGAAAAACCCCTCAGTGGCTTGTCTATCGTTACCTTTTGAATCAACAAATAGGGAGTAAAAAAGATTACTAAAAAAAAAGAGGGTAAATTACAAATAAAAAACTAAGGTTTAGCGTGTTTTGTAAATTAAATCCCAGGTTTTTAATTTGACAATTAAAACTCTGTAAATCATTCCGTGTCACAATGTTACCCCCCCCTGTCCATCTCTATTTCATAGTAATGGAGAAAGCTATTTTTGACGCTTAAACCGATCCAAAACGACGTCGTTCCTTATTAGACCCATATAAAAGCCCCCAAATCTTGAATTTCACCAATTAGGGCTACAATTTGCCCTAATTTCTTCGATTTCATCAATTTAGGGCAATACGAACGACAAATCCACTGTTGAATGAAGCTCCATTTTCAGCCATTACGAAGAATGAAGGAAACAACTGGGGTGAAAATAATTGAGGTAAATCGACTCGTTGCAGTTGTGGAATGAGAGCAAGAATCCGAACTTCATGAACCCATGAGAACCCAACTAGGAGGTTTCTTGGTTGTCCAAATTATGGAGTAAGTTTCACAGTCCTATGAATAATACGTAATTTGTGTATATTGTTGTTCCCTAAAACTTGACTTTGATTAGTATTTTGTAATTTATTTACTTTATTTATTTATTTATTTATTTATTTTTTCCAGAAAAAACGAGCTTGTGGCTTCTTCTATTGGTATGATCCACCCACTTGTCCTCGTGGTAGACAAGTGTTTCTGAAGTTGGTGGACAAGGTTGCAATTAGAGGAAATGGTAACTAAGATTACAAGATTGAAGGAGGATGTTCAAACTTATCGCCGTAGATAGAAATGGATTGTAGGTGGATTGATTGTTGCAGTGATTGTAATTAGAATGTTAACAGTGAGCAGTTAGGGAATGTAGGTTAGTTAGTTAGTTAGTTAGCTAGGTAGTTAGCATTTCTGGTTTAGGAAATGTAATGCAACTATGCACTTGGCAATGTGAACTTAATGTATAATTTTGAATGAAATGATAAATCCTTGTTTTGTTTGTAATGTGTGTTTGGATTGTGGTAATGTTTGTTTGGTTGTATACATTTTGTAATGAATTTGATGCATTTGCAAAACCAATGCTCTGAATGTGTTAGACAAAATGTCCAAGTGAAGGGAAAACAGATTACAAGCTTGTAAAAGACAGATTAAAAGCCATTGTTGAACCTGTTTCAAACCAATAGACAGCACAATCCAAGCATGTATAATAACCATTCAATTGGTCAACCCGTTCCACCTATTCAACTTGTTCTAAGCATGTAAAAAACCAAGCATGTAAAAAACAGATTAGTAACCATTGTTCAATCTGTTCCAAGCCAATATACAGCACATTCCAAGCATATATAATAACCATCCAATTGGGTACATCATTGATGTCAACCATGTCTAATAAGCATGTATAATAACTATCCATATATTGCTCCAAACCAATATACATCTTTCATCATTACAAAAAGAAGCAGTTCACCATCCATAATCTGTCTTCAAGTCATATGACCATTACAAAAAAAACCAATTCATAATTACAACATTTAGTTCACTATGCCTCTATTAACACTAGCCTGACTACTTAAGACCTGTTCAACTTCATCCCTTCTCATAGTTACTATGGGTGTTGATGTCCTCCTTGTTGATGCCATCTGTGGTGGCTGTTACTGTTGTCCATATTGTCCACCAGTTGATGCTTCTCCAGATATTGCATTTGATCTGAATCCCATGAAAGTTTGTTGACACCTATTAACAAAAAATTGTTAAACCACAGTTTGAGCATATATGGAGATCAATTACAAGTAGAACATACCAATACATTACTTACATTCTTTGATGAACTTGTAGCTCCATCATTTTTACCCTTGACAGGCCCCTTGTATGTTCTTTGATTATGACCATGTACACCACACTTGGAGCATTTCAGGCTGGTACAATTCCTCTACAACTTGAATGGGTTTTGAGGCTTATCTGGGTCTCTAATTCTTTGCTTTTGAGGTCTACCAGTTGACCTTTTCAACTTAGAAGGAAGTAAAGGCTCACAACCTGTCTTGGGCCACTGATCTTGGCCATTAAGTGGATTTATCAGTGCCTCATAAGTTCTCAAGTAAGTCTCTTTTTTGAGAGCTACATGCACATAATCCTCAACTCTCTCTTTTTGAAAGAAAATAGCAGCCACAGCATGAGGACCAGGGATTCTAGTTAGATCCCACTTGAAACAGGTACATGTCCTATTCTCTAAGTTGACAACATAACCACTTACTCCATACCTAACTTCAAATAGAGCACCCCATGACCAAGTAGGTATTCATACTCTAGATTTTACCTTTGACCTCTCAATCTTAGTTTGTATATTTGCACAATTGGCCATTAGTACTTCATCATTTTGTCCCTACATTTATGTAGCCTCACCATCAAAGCCCTCCTAATCCACTCTAACATGGTGAGAATAGATCTATCTTTAGCTGGTAAGACCCAATTATTAAAAGACTCTGAAATATTGTTCAACAATCTATTACACTTTGTTCTGGGATTGAATGCACGCCTACACCACTGAGCTGGATTAAGTCTCATTATCCAATCATATGCTCTACTGTCTATACTATGCAACTTAGTCATATGCTTCTCCCAATCAATCCTTGTATATGCCTTTGCAACTTTTCATACACAACTCTTTAGCTCCTTTCCTCTAAACTCCTTTTTAAAATTTGCATAAAGATGTTTGACACAAAACCTATAATGGCCTTCAGGGCACAATTCTTCAAGAGTTAGAACTAGTCCCTGCAAAACATAAATGTCAAAATCATGAATAATGAAAAACATTAAGGAAACATAACAAAATAATGAAAAAACCATTAAACATAAATATACCTTTTGTTGATCAGTGATGAAGGTCCATCCATGCTCTGTACTTGTGCCAATACATTCAAACAAATTCTCTACAAACCAAGTCTAACTTTCTTTATTCTCACTCTCAGCCATTGCATAAGCAATTGGATACATCATGTTGTTTCCATCCCATCCCACAGCAATAAACAATTGTCCTTGACAAGGTCCTTTTAAATGACAAGCATAGCCAATCAATGGCCTCACACCAGCTAAAAACCCTCTTCTGATTCCATCAAAGCACACAAACATTCTCTGGAACCTAGGCTTAATTTGAAGTTGAGGCCTCCATACATTGATGTCAACTCTTGAACCTGGATTTGTCTTTATCAACTCAGCAGCATAATCCCACAATTTTGTATATTGTTCAGTATTTGTTCCCTCAAGTTGTACCAATGCTTGTTTCCTAGCTCTGTAACATTTTATTTTGGATACTTTTACAACACATTTATCTTTCATAGTGTATTTAAATTAATTTATTTTCCAGGTAGGGGTGGTCCTGAATTTGTTCACATACTAAGATGCCAAAAATGCACTAGTTACTTGTCTTTTCTTGTAACTTCTGTTGCAAGTGTGTGTGTAGATTTGTATGTCTTAAGTTGTAATGTGTTCTCTCCACTCATCTTAGAGGCATAAAGCCTTTACTCACACCCATCACTACAGTTGACTTGAACCTTCCATGTCTGACTTTTAGTGAATTTGACATCATAGCCCCCTTTCACTGCATATTCCCTTACAACATCTTTAAATTCAATGGCATTATTAAATAACATTTCAATTTTAAATTCAAACTTAGCCATATCAACATCAGGCCTAAATTCAGGGTACTTTGGCTTTCCATTACTCTCCTCATCAGATCCTTTAGGGATTAATAATTCCTTCTCAGATGAATCCTCATCATTCACAACATATTCCTCAAATGCATTGCCTCCGTCTCCATTTGGTTCCTTCTCTACATTACCATCAAACATGATATCATCATCAGTAGGGTCATCCTCACGTATTAGCTAAGAAATCACTATCTGATGAGTCATCATTTTTCTCATCTTCATAGTCATGAGACTGAGGATGTTGAGCATTTTCATTATCATTTATAGGGACATCAGCAAAGAACAAAACAGGGTGAGGGGTGTCTACATTGTGTGGCACATGATGCTCAACAAATAATTCTAAGGTGTTTGCAGAGCCTAGATATTGAAACATTTCTAAAACATCTTGGTCAATACCTAATCTTCTTAACCCTCTAACCAGATCTTCTGTGAGAATCCTATAAAAAAACTGTTTGTAATCGCATATCCCCAACTTCTTCACCATATATATCAGCTCAGGCACAGAAAATGT